CTTAAAAACTAGGTATGATATGATCACATAAACGATGGCTCAGCAATATTTGTTTCCAGTTTTGTTGTTTTATCATATATGTTTTGAACCTGATTTGATCGAATTTGAGTTGCCTTCCATTGCTGTATAATTTCCAGCATGTTAAAGCCATTTTTCTAGCAAAAACATTGTTTTTGTTTGATGTGAATACAAATGATCAGAAAAAGATCGCGTGAAAAGGGAGGGTAACAGGCAACATCAACACCTGTTATACGACATTAGCGTTTAGTTTGTCAGTTAAAGATTTATTTCATAAGAAGCCTACATTTAGAACACACGAAAGGCCTCGGGATGCATATTTGAAGTAAACGTTCAAAATACCATTTAGGGGTCACATAACCCTGTGAACTCGATATCTTTACTTTCAAAAAATTGGAAAAAGCTTCCTATATGTATACATTTGGAAAGTTACAAAATTAGATATCATATATGACTAATCAAAATAAATGCTTTCGGTATCTTTTTAACTTTAGTCACAGTGATCAATTAAACCTCTCCCCATGATATACTTATGCATATATGATAAAATGACTTACCATCTGTCTAATTTCCCTCAACTTATCAAATTCAGCTGAGTCTTTCATTTTGCGACTGGCTTTTTCCAATTCATTCCATTTGCTGATATCAAAGCGATAGCTACGTGCTTTGCTGCAGATCTAGAATGACGTGAAAAATCACAATCTGAGAATAAGCAACAATCAAATGCATACTTCCACAACTTCTTTCTTGATGCGAGGAACGTGCTCGTTGGGGAGGATTCTATCGCTTATTGGAACAAGCTAAATTCGATAAGATGCAGGGGCCATGCAAGTTTAGATAATCGCACACCCACCTTCATATTGGCGCAAGGACGGCCGTTGTTGGTCAGAATATTCATATTCTGAGGGTTAAATCCAATGCCACAACTTTTGCATTCAGCCAAAGTGTCCAACTCACCAAACTGGAATTTGAAACAAACAGATTTAAATCTAACACGATCTCAAGTTGTTGTGGTTTACTTATTTCACTTTTTCTGAAGTCATTTGCTCCTTGTTTTAGTAGTGTGTCATCTACATATGTGAAGACGAGCAAAGTGACATATATCGTATTAAAGGAAGAGCAATAAGAGCTATAAGAGCTATATTGTCATGTACTGAAGGAAGAACGATAGGAGTAAAAGGCTCTTAGAAATGCAAAAACGTGGAAACTCTCCCTCGGCTCTCCTGTGAATGGATAAGGCGGCATTTGATGAAGACTGAGAAAGCATAGTAAGTATTAATTGAAAGTAAGAAAGCGGTGGGAATGGCGACTTATTAGCAAGAATCTCAGCATGGCGGTATGAAGGTATCGGTGGAGCACGCCGAAGATGAGATGGCATGGCCTGTTCGAAGCCAAGGTAAGTCACCGCGCAGTACTTCTTCTATTTAAACTCATTTCAACATTTGCGAAAAAATCACTTTTCATTTAGATTGGAAGCTCTCTCCTCACTCGTTCGCTGATAGAGACAATCAAAAAGCACACAGACTGATAGATCTAGCTTTAAACGCTAAAGTTTGCCTTCTCCGCCATCTTTTTCTAGAAAAAGTCATAAAAGGTTTTCGCGAGAATAGCATGCGACTTGTCAATGACACCTGCGACTGGATGACTACAATGACTATAAATCAAGTTTTGCTTGAAAACTACACAATTTTCGTTTTCATATGAACAGTGATGTATCAGTATTCAACTTTGGAATTGATATATTGGAACAAAGTCAAACGAGCCACTGTTTGGATGCCCTATACGTCAATTTCGATATGGAAAATCGTCCATGGCTTCTTACAATAAAACATTTGGCAGATGAGGAAGACAAGTTTGGAATAGACGTTTGGAGCTACATTGAGAGGCATACATCGCCTCGAACATCACTTTCATCAAGCATTCTTCCTTTGCACGATCTTATGTATATGAAAACTCTTACCAATATTGGAGGTCCAAGACATCTGCATATGATTTCCCTCAGCCGT